GGGGGGAAAGAGAACTAACAATACAAGCAGAATAGGTCTTGTCCTCTTTGCTGCTTTTCCAACAGCCTCCATTGTTAACTCCACAATTTAGGGCAGCTGAAGCTGCAACGCAATTACAAAGCACCTCAGGTTTCAATCCAAAATCACCATCTTGCACTTGATTAACCATTACAAGAAATCGATACCATCAAAGTCGGTCCACAAAATTCCCCAACTTATGAGGGGTAGTTTAGACATTCCATTAAACTATATGCTCAACCAAATGTGTTTTAGCCTACTAGGTAAGAAGGTGGACATCGTTACAGAATATGGTCAAATATTCCATTAATTCTTCGATGGAGGCAATCACAATAAGAACCAAATTACCTTCGCAGTGTTTATAACCATCGCCAATAAATTTCACACCCTCCACAATTGGACATTCACACACTCTCCCGCGGAAGGTATCCTAGACAAAATAAACATGCTCGCAAGATAAAACAACCTAATTCATATGCGAAAATAGGTTCGATATCAAGACAAACATACAAGTACCTTGCATGCCGTAATATTAGCAACTTTATCCATCCAACAACCACCGTTGTTTTCTAGACACTCGTTTCTTTCTATTTCTGCAAATACAATAACAAAACATCATTAATTCAACCCTTTTGGAGTAGACGACAGGTCTGCATACATCTCACCCTCCCCACACCCTACCTTCTAGTGGGATATGTTAGCTTAGGGGCCGTTTACTAAGACAAACTCGGTAAGTGCTTACAGAATAAGAGTCATCACCCTTGCCTATGGGTTATATAAGATTCTCGGTTAGCAAAATTGCATAATAAGATTGTTGGGACGTAAAAACCATCAATCTATGACCGGGTAAGCATTTTCTTATTTGATAATAGATGGTAAGTGTTTAATAAACAACCCTTAATTACTAAGGCGAAATTCATCGAGCATAAGAGATACTTGCATATTTGCTTGGAATAATAGAAAAAAATGAAACTATATGCACTAACTTTCGCTTAAACAAAGAGCTGGCTCTGTGGTCTCCTCAAATCCTGAACATATGGCTTTCAAAACTGCCCTTTTATCAAGCTTACCTGAACCAAACAGTAGAGGAGTTATTTCCATGAAAAACTATTACAATATATACACACACATGTGTGTGCATGTATGTGTGTGTGTGTGTATATATATATATATATATATAGATATATAACATCATGCTTTTAGTTCTAGATGCTCACCCCTATATTGCCTGTTATTTATTATGAGAGTTGGTAGTATCGTCACATCCCCACGGACACCTTTCCCTATCTGCAGATTTACGAGCATGTTAAAGATCATATCATCACATACACAAATTACAAAATCACCCTCAATGTCCCTCCTCCCCACCCAGAAAAAAAGGGGTAGTTGATGTCATTGGGGTGTAAGTGATGGCAATAATTTCTTTACGAACACACCTGTGCTTCTTGCTCGGTTTTAAGGACTGCGTTTTCGGCATCTGATTCTGGATCACCCACACATTCATCTATCTTCTTGATATCAACTCCTTAGAAATGAAAGAAAACAATTCAATGCACTTTTATCTAAACACCCATTGTCCCTTTCAATCAAAAAACTGAAAAGTAACAACAAAAAACTTTCAAAAACCAACCTAATCAATCACCAAAGTCGCTACAACAAAATAGGGTTTGACGCCAAAAATGTGTCAAGTGTTCTAATAGACTGCTTTATGGGACTACATTTATAACAACTGTATGTCACATTGCAGAGTCACTAAATTTCTGTAAAAAACGAAGGTTCTATAAAAACATGTGTTTAAAAAAGCTAAGCCACATTTTATTTTAAAGGTGTCCTAAAATATTTGTCAAAGCATTCAAGAATGTCTTATAAACTTATTGCAACGCTTTTAAATAAGACGCATAATTGTTTGATGCTATAAGCTTAAGTCTTGTAAAACAATCTATTAAGACATTTAAAATATTTTTGATGTCCTATAAATCTAATTTTGTTGTGATGAGTGTTTTTTCGTCGAGTTATGCATGAAAGTCTGTTGTTTTTGTTCATTTTCCGATTCAAGGGATATATGGGTCGACTCATTTAAACAAAATTGTCATTTTCTCAAACTAAAAGAAATTGCATGGAAAATTGTCAAATTAAAGATTTATTTTAAGATTCAAAAAGGTGCAGAATGAAGATTAAGGTGTGAGTCTCATTAAGCCACTATTAAACAGTCATGTATAGCTGATCAAATAAGGTGTGAGTCTAGTTAAGCTTCTTAAGCTACTAACAAACAAACTCTTGGACATTTTTGATGTCCTATAAACCCAATTTTGTTATAGTGTGCTAATTCAAAAGATGTTTAACTCACCAAGTGACTTGATAACTTCCTCCGTACAATCTTTGTTATACTTGTTGTTTTTCATTGAGCAATGAGTAGCAAACTCTGTTACATAATCCCACCAAATCCACGGGTTTCCACTTTCATTCGCCACTTTATAGAGACAAGCATGTCGTAAATTTTGAAGAACTACATCCCTCCCTTCATATCCTTTACTAAAATCTTGTTCCGGATCCGGAGCACAATATCTTCCATAGTTGATACACTGAGACCTGCATTTTGTGCTCGAAATATATTCCTCTGGGCAATACCAAGTGATGTAATGCGGTGTAAACCGAGTGTACCCTTTTCTCTCAAGAATTTGAGCGACACCTTTAAAGTTTTTGACAAAATCTATTTGGGTATCACACTTGGGCCCACATTCATCATTGCTATTCGTCCAAAACTCGTACTCAACTCGCTCATCAGGATGAGGGAGGGCTTCGGTCCAATCAAGATTTACACGAACGAGATCATTGTTGCTTAAGGCTTTCTTTATTGCATCTTCAAGTGAAAAGGTAATGAGTGCCGAAGGGATTGTTATGTTTTGGATGTAGTCGAAACGTGCACCTCCTTCTTGGGGCAAATCCATGGTGATCAATTGCTCAGGTCGGTCATCGGCCACCAGAATAGCGGCGGCACCGGCGTTTTGTGCATTCCATGCCTTTTCTGTAAAGAAACAACCTGAAGAATCGAGACACTCTCATCATCTACAATTGTTTGCATCATTTCTGAACCAAATTGGTATAAAATTTGATGCAAACAATGATCATTCTCCAACCATTACATTATTTTTAACATCAAATAAAATATTCAAAGTATATTCCAAATTTCTATTTTATCTAGATTTTTAATTACATCTTTGCATTTATTAATTATTTACAAATTTAACTCCTATTTTTCTTTTTTTCTTTTTTTAACTTATAAATTATACAATTTAATTGTAACCAAAATAAATTCTTTGTATATTAAATAATTAATTTCAAACTAATTATCATTCAATTAAACAAGTTACTTAATAAAACACATTTAAATAAATAAAACACCTACATTTAAGCATTTGAATAGTATAGCATATATAAATAGAATCAATAACCCCGTAAATTACAGTTAAATGCCAACAAATATTCATATCAACAATTTAACATCGTACAAAATAAATTAAACACATCACACTCTACAATAAAATCCGGTTTATAAAAAACTAACAGGACTTCTTAACGACGTCTTATAAACTTATTGCAACGCTTTTGCGAATAACGTATAATCGTTTGGTGTTACAAACTTAGGATCCCATTATTAGCAGCTTAATAAGACTCGTAGCTTATTCAAACAACTATGTTGTTTCGTAATAGCTTTATGATAAGGGGTTTTAAGAGTTCTATTCATGAAGTATAAGTCTAAACAAGATCCTTTCTAATCTATAAATACAGATTAATCCACAACCAAACAGCGGCGTAGTCTATTAGAACACTTCATTAAAAACATGATGAATGAAGAGGGAAAGTATTATTACCACCGCGATCTGCAAGGAGAAAAACCGGAAGGCTGCCATGAGTCTTGTTCTTGAAAGAGAAATCATGAGTGAAGTTACTGCTGCAAGCATTTTGATTCATTTGTGAATAAACAATCAAACCAGTTAATGTTCCACCATAAAGAGGAACACCAAAGTTCCCAAGAGCACATTCATATGTATCTTTTATATTCTCAGGTGAAATCACCTTCAAGCTGCTCTTCTCCACCACAAATCTACCCAAACAACATCCACACAAAAACAAAGACCAAAACCAAACGCAAATCACAAACCCTAACTTCCCTCCTCTCATTTTTCTTCTAATACAAGCTCAAAAATATGAAAACGTTGAAGATCAAAAAACCCAAATATGGAAGTGGGTGATGTCGAATTCACATGTGAAGAATGGTAATTAGGGATTTCTGGAGGTTTTCGTGTGGTATGTAGGACATGGGAGACTAGAATGGAGTGGAAAGCAGGTCATGTTGCACTGCAATGGAGTTGGAGAATATTACGAGGAGGAGATGGCTAAATCAAACTCTTTATTTCATTAAATTAACCTTTGTAAAACTCCAGCAGGCCTCCCTATAAGTAATTAATAAACCAATAAATTTGTTATGAAAATAACATTAATTTTAGAAAAAAATATTTAGGAGCCGTTTACCAAACGCTTACCCGAGTAAGCATTTACCAAGTAACATCACTTCACTGTATGAATATGGTTAGACCAAGAATCTTACCCGATAAGAGCAAAACAAGAATCAAGAGTCTTACCCGCTAAGAGAGGGCGACGACTCTTACCACGATAAGCGTTTACTGGGTAAATTGTTGCATATGATGTCGTTTTGGTGAACTAAAATCTTACCGGTAAGTGAATTTTACTGATAATCACTTACCGTCACTTACCGGCTAAGTGTTTGGTAAACGACCCCTAAGGTTCCTTTCTTTATTAGTTGTTAAAAATGTTAGTGTTAAATGAGAAGCATTTTTGTTCTTTTTATCAAAATCGATTTTATGATTTTGGTTTCGTAATTTTTGATTCGTAAAAGATGACATGACTTTTACGAAAATGCCTCTCGTCTAACGAAATTCTTTAACCCACTATTAAATTTAATTCTGCAAAATTACGGATTTCAAAGTTAATTTTTGAGTAAACTTCTTTTTTGGTCCCTGTGCTTTTCAAAAATTCTTGGTTCTAGTCCCTACTAAGTTATCATCGTAGCTTGTATTTTTGTCCCATTTTGGTATATTTCGTTGATGAACGTTAAATTCCATCAATTAAAAGAAGATGTATTTTAGTCTTTTTTTTCATTTTTTTATTGTTTGCTATTAATAAATAAATTTAAATTATATAATTTCTTAAATAAAAAACATGTTAAAGATTGAAAGCTGATATCATCATATGTGATTTGGTTATTCTCGTGCTTCTTGTATGTTAATTGACTTCTCACACGATCATCCTTCTCTCTCTCTTTATGTGTGTGTGTGTGTATATATATATACATATATGAGTAAAGTCGTTCTGTATTTTTACCAACTAATGACTATTGCAACAAAAATATATAGAAAAAAGTTGTAAGAAAGCATATTGGTCAAGTAAAATAAACAAAGTTAATTAACCAACTATTTAACAATAGAATTAGTAATTTTTTTATAATATCTTTTTAAAAGATAAGACTCATCGAAGGTACGTTTCATCTGTTAATAAAATAAGACATATCTTTCCTTATAAAATAATCAAAGAATAAAATAAATTCTAAAATAGTTATGCAGATTGTAGGATAATATTAAGTTATTAACGCATCCATAAAACAAAAAGTCGAACCAACTTTGTTTATAGAAGGAAGATAGGTAAAGATGAAAGACGAAAAGCCGGCCGAATGTCATAACGACGTCAACCTCAATGTAAACAAATTCTAAAACTTGTTTTAATTAAAAAAAGTATATTCTGAAATAGTTATACAGATTGTAGAATATAATATTAAGTTATTAACGCATCCATAAAATAAAAAGTCGAACCAACTTCATTTGTTGAAGGAAGCTCGGTAAAGATGAAAGACGAAAAACCGGCCAAATGTCATATCGACGTCAACCTCAATGTAAATAATTAAACATTTTGCATTCATAAGTAGAAGAAGGTAGAGATGAATACATAAGCCATGAATGTGTAAATACGAAAATGTACACGCATATGCAAAGTTAAACTAGAAGAAGGAAATTTCCTAGAACAAGCAATCTTGGTTGAATGAAGAGTAAATTACATATTTGGTACTTGTGGTATGTGTAACTTTACGAAATTAGTCCCCAAATTCGGACATTACGTATAGTACATGGTGGTATGCATTTTTTTAATTTGGTCCCTCGACCAAATGGCCGTCTACCAGGTCTGCTAAACTCGAGGGGAAAATGATTTTCTTGACATATGATATTACTTTAACCTTTTTAGATAAAATTTTATGATAAAGAACCAAAATGTTTACGTTAGAGCTTGGAGAGTCAAAGACAAACACTGTTTCCGTCAAAACTTTCCCCCTTCTCATCATTGATGAACCCCGTCCACCTCCATCTACGGCTTCAATTATCATTGCTCAGATGATTTCGTGTGTGTGTATATATATTTATACATACAGATGGTTCATGATGATTATACACGTATGTGTGTGTATATATAAGTATTATATATTATATATTAAATATAGCCAAGCCAAACCCCTCTAAAAAAAAAATAACCAAGAAACTTGGGAAACTAAATAAAATCAACTTATTAAGGAAACTAGAAAATAAACTAAGGAGATGGAATCCTAATCAACTTAGAAAACTAAGGAGCCATTTACCAAACACTTACTCGAACAAGTACTTGTCAAGTCATGTTAGCTCACCAGATGAATATGGTAAGAACTAAAAATCTTATCCGGTAAGAGCAAGACAAAGACCATGAATCTTACCCGATAAGTGAGGGCAACGACTCTTACCACAGTAAGCGTTTACCGGGTAAATTGTTGTATTGGATGTCGTTTTGGTGGACTAAAATCTTACCCGATATGTAAATAATAGTGTTAAATTTTACCGATAAACACTTATCGAATAAATGTTTGATAATCGGTCACTAAATAACCTAATAAGGAAACTATAATAAAATAAATTCCATCTCTCTTGAGAGTTAAACATAAAATTAACCAAATAGTAGCTTCTAGAAAAATTAACCAATAATTTAATTTTCTACCCTTGACAAGGTTGTTAATGGTAGTATATCTAATGCATGTATATTACTCATTATTTGTTGTTTTTTTTATTAATTTTTATTTGATTTAAAATAAATTATCAATAAGAAACGAGATCGAAGAAAATCCTCGTAACAACACTTTGCTATCTTTTTTAATAACAACTGCAACTACATAATACAACAAGAGTCGTATGCTTTACTTGCATTATATTTTCAAATTTTTGGTGAATTATTCGAGTTATCTTCACCATTATTGCAACGAAATCTCTGAGGATGATGATTTAGGGTGCAAGAAAAACGAAAAATGCACCAAAGTGATGCCATGGGTGCTTTTTTATTCTGGTTCACTATTTAGATTTACTTAAAAAAATTATTGTACAAATATGGATATCAACGATTGTGAATGTTGATTTTATGAAACGTTTATATGTATTTGGATGTTTGTAAGTATTAAGATCGAGCAATAGGAAGATCATGTGTTGGTGCCCCACCGTTTCAAAAACAATAAATTAGGTCGGAGGATGGTTGGTTTGATTACACAAAAATGAAGAGTATCAGTGAGGGAAAATTCTCTCGCTGATATGTCGCTAAAGGGTCTTCAGTCGCTGATAGTCTGTCGGTCAAAAGCTCGTACGTAATGCTATCAGCAACGGATCAACAACAGCTATTCGGGACGGATCAACAAGGGAATCTTTCAGCGACGGATCAACGAGGGAAAATTCAGCGGTGGATCAACGAGGAAATCTTTCAGCAATGGATCAACGAGGGAATCTTTCAACAATTTATCAACAAGAGAATTTTCAACAACGATATCAGCGAGAGAAACTTTTAGCAACTGATTTGCGAGAGATTTTCAGCGACGAATTTTCCCTCGCTAATTCGTCGCTAATTTTTATTAATTTAAAAATAAATTATTTATAATTACATAATTAATTCCTTTTTTTTATTAATTATACAAAACCTGACCATAAAATAACAAACCAAAACGAATTCATACAATTTAAAATATTCAATTCATTCAATTTAAAATATCAAATTCATATAATTTAATGTTCAAATTCATATATTCTAATTACCGAGAGGTGGGGGAGGAGGGGGGGGGGGAAACATATCATAACTGCTGCATAAACACAGAAAAATGCTTCAATAAGGCACCCTGTTCAGCTAAGGCAGCAACGTGTCTGGCTTGTTCGACCTCCAAATCTGCTCTACTCTTCCGTTCGGCCTCCATCTCGGCATGATGGCATTCTTCCCACAGTCGCGTCTCTTCCATTACCCTTGCCAACTTCTCTCTCAACTTCACTACATGTAAATATTCAATATTCAACAAAATCAGTAACTTGTTCGCAATGAAAGTAAGGAGAAAGTATATAACAATATAACCAACATATCTCTGCTGTTGACTCATATGATCTTCAGGTGCTACTGCTACATCTACCCGTCATAACATAAGAGGGATATTGGGAGGTCCTGAAACCAAAGATGCGGCCCTTCCTCCGCCCTCCGACATTCTGCTCCTAAAGAGATGCCTCATAAGGGGAGGGGTGTCGGTACTAGACTGTGCCTCACCCCTAAGTGATTGAAATCGCTCTTATAGTTCACCAAGACAAAAACGGGTGAGGTTATATATGTAGAAATTTCAGCAGCATAACGGCCGTAAATCAAACATATCCAATGTCTGTTTTGATAATTAAAAGATTCTAATAATACCAATGGTAGTCATATTCTCAACCTATCTACTTAGCCAAACCTTTGCCCAATAATAGCAGCCCAAACTAATAACATCACTATATTTATTAAAATATATTACCTTAAACCTACCAAACTTATCTATGAACCGAAGCAATGGTTTTAGAAATCTTACATGATATCAAGCAACTTTGGGGTAACTGAACCAAGGAGGATCGGTAGGCAGGGCAGATGAACCTTGAACGAACTTCCGATTCATGCAGTGAATGCGCTCAAACATCTCAGTAGTAGTTGAATCATGACCTAGTAGTTATGTATACATTAGATAATTAGGTTAAGTTATTACTAAACATAGAGAACGAATTACATATTCAAAAAAGATTATATATTCACCATTCTGT